TTGATGAACACTTCTAATAGAAGGAGTAAGATGAGTATTACTTTTATTAAATAATAAAAAATATGAAAAATATGAATTTACAAAATATAATAATTTAATTATTATAATAGGAAAAAATTATATTTAATAAATAAAGTATATTTAAATTAGAAATCATAATAATGTGAAAATTCTTGAATCAAATAATATTACATAACATACTCTGTATATTTTATGTAAATATAAAATAAAAATAATTTTAAAAATTAAAAATATTATAAAAACTGTTAAAAATTATTTTCAAAAATATTAAAAATAAATAACTAAAAACTAATTAGAAAACACAGAAAATATATATAGAAAAGCTTAAGAACAATATAAATATAACGATAAAAATATCTTTTAATTTTAAAAAGTTACTTCTATATAAATCACAAATAAGTTTTAGATATTTTTATAACCATATTTAAAAAAGTAACTGTTAACTTATAAGTTGTAAGACAAAAAAAAAAGGCCTCATCCAAGAGACTGACAAAATATTGAAAATACTGCATTTTTCTTAGGTTTGCATTATTAATTATTATATTTGGAAAATTACAATACCTCTCTCTCCCGATCACGCGACCCAAAAATCGGAGACTCTGAGCACCGGCCACCTTCCTCAGTCCATCTCTGCCTTCTTCTCCTTCGCTGTCTCTTGGCTTTGAATCACTTTCACAGCTTATGTTTCTCACATTTCCCCGTTGCTGAAGCAGCGTTGATGCAATCAACATTCTTCTTCTAATTTCATCTGAAGATGCCGTTCTCTTCTGCTATGGCAGGGTATGTCTTCTCCAAATCCTGTCTCTTTCTGCAAACTTCTTCCTCTTCCTTCCTTCCTTCTTTCCCTTCCTTCCTCAATCTGCGATTTTGTGTGCGTTCTAATTCCTCAAACCCTAATAAGAGCCTCCGAGACTCCGTAGCTTCGTTCAGTCGCTTGCTCTCCATGAGTCCCCTGCCCTCCATTGTCGAAATTAATAAGATTTTAGGATCACTTGCAAAGACCAAACACTGCACCACTGCTATCTCACGTTATGCCCAGGCGGAACTGAAAGGATTCACACCATCTTTAGTTACACTGAACATTTTGATCAATTGCTACTGTCTTGTGGGTGACATCCCTTCTGCTTTCTCTTCACTGGGGAAGACCTTCAAGTGGGGTTATCGACCAAATACTATAACAATGACTACGTTGATGAAAGGACTCTGCATGAAAGATGTAGGGCAAGCACTCGACTTTCACGATGACTTGTTGGCAAAAGGATTTTGCTTAAGCCCAGTTACTTATGGTACCTTAGTTAGTGGGCTTTGCAAAACTGGAAAAACAAGATGTGCTGTCAAATTGCTCCAAATGATGGGGACACGGAAAATTAAAACTCTGCCGAATGTCGTTATATACAACGCAGTCATTGATGGCCTTTGTAAAGAAGGGCTAGTAAGTGAGGCATCTAAGTTGTGTTCTGAAATGATCAGGCGAGGAATATCTCCGGATATTGTTACCTATAACACTTTAATCCATGGTTTCTCCATCACCAATCAATTGCAACAAGCTGTTAGGTTGTTAAATGAAATAGCCATGAAAGACATTAGTCCTGATCTTTATACTCTTAATATACTAGTTGATGCATTTTGCAAAAGGGGGAGGACCATAGAAGCTCAATGTGTCCTTGCTAAGATGATGAAATGTTTTGTAAAACCTGATGTTATTACCTTTAGTTCTTTGATGAATGGTTACTGTATGAGGAATGATGTTAATGAGTCCGTAGCAGTGTTCAATAAGATGATCAGAGCTGATTTGACACCTACTGTTGTGAGTTACACCACATTGATCAATGCATATTGTAAATTAAAAATGGTGGATGAAGCCCTAGATTTGTTTAAGGAAATGCGCTGCAAAACTTTGCAGCCCGATACAGTCACTTACAACTCCCTTATTGATGGCTTGTGCAAAGCTAAGAGAATGTCAAATGTGAAAGATCTCGTTTATGAGATGCACCGCAATGGTCTCACTCCTGATATAATAACCTACAATATCTTGTTGGATGCATTGTGCAAAATGAATCATCTTGACGAGGCAATTACATTATATCGGCAAATTGTCGACCAAGAAATACAGCCTACAATATACACTTACAGTATACTATTCAATGGTTTGTGCAAAGAAGGTAGGTTCAGTTTTGCAAGAGAGATCTTTGAATATCTTATGACTAAAGGCCATCATTTAAATGCCTACTCTTACAACATTATGATAAATGGACTTTGCAAAGAAAGCTTGTTCGGTGAAGGATTAACACTATTTTCCAGAATGAAAGAGAATGGTTGCCTCCCCAATTTGGTGACATTTACAACACTTGTTGGAGCTCTGCTGATGAAAAATGAGAATGATAAAGCAGAGATGCTTATTCATGAAATGATAGATAGGGGTCTTCTGAATCAGTGAAAAAAGGGCAAATGCTTTATTTTTGTCTTGTACTTCTATTATGATCGAATAATATGCTTGTACTAATGATGATACTTGCCTATAAAGTTTTTAGAAAATGCTTGTTTCTTCTGATTAAAAGTTATGAGATTATTCCTTGTGATTTCTTTTAAAGAAATTCTGTTGGAGCCATATATGTGATGGAGTTATTTTGCCATCTTGTTGGGATACAATTAGTTATTGGGTAATATGGGTTTGTTCTTTCAGGCTGTAAACACCATGTATCCATACTTATCACGTTGAATGCTTCCCATATTCACACTTATCAGATTGTTGCACTCCTCACTTTACAATCTCTGGGTTTTTGGTACGGAAAAGGATTTATAGTCCTTACAAGAACTTAGCCTTCAACATTTCTGCTAGCCTATATGACACTTCTTGCTGTTCGCATGCTCTTTCATTTGGAACTTGAATTAATTACGGTCTCTGAAAATTTTCGTGAGTGTTTCTGTTGAATTATATATAAGTTGCTAATTCAACTGCATTTGAATTTTGTATGCCTTCTGATGAAACAGAACTGCTCATTAATATGCTTAGAGCTTCATTCATGATGGACTGTATTCTTGGCTTTTCCAATGGCTAATTTGTTGTCCATAAAAAAAATCTCCACAGCTTGTTTTGATGCACTTGTAGCTGCTCCAATAATCTTCTTCACCAGATTGCCTAGCTATGGCACTCTGTTGCTGTTTCTTTTTCATCTTCTCAAGCTGGTAATGCAACAATTGTTTGTTTCTTTGAGCACTAGTGTAAATACTGCTTTTAAGTTGTTTTTGCTTTTTTCAGTGACTAGAGTATATTGTAATTGTTCATACTTTTGAGAATATAAATAATAAGTTGTTCTTGTTTTTTAATTCTATGATTCTTGTGAAACTCTCTCTCTCTCTCTCTCTCACACACACACATCAACAAAAGTAAAATTGTTCATGCTCTTGATAGAAGTTGTTATGCTCACTCTTGATACCTCTTATTGATTACTTAGCCAAACATGCTTATACTTTTAATTGGTGTTTTTGTATCTTTGATGACTCCCTCCCCTTTACCAAAAGCAGTGATTGACAAGGGAACTCAGATGTTGTCGCGGACTTGTTTTGCCTTGTTCTTTTGAATTAATGGATATCGGTTTTCAAAAAAATTGTTCACAAATTCTCTCTCTCTTAGTAATAACATAAAATATTTCAGCTAGTGAACAACTTCACTCTTAATTCAACAATAAGTTTCACATGACATGATGAAATGCTATGTGGTAGGAAGTATTTAGAAAGATCTTTTACTGAAAATTATTTACGGTTGTAATGAGTTTAGATTTGCACACAAATTTGCACACAAATCACTCACAAATAAGTTTCTTCACTTTAATCCCCCTTTTCCTTTCCTAATTTCCACAAGATAACTACTTCACTTATTTATTTATTTATTTTAAATCTTCAACATGATTTGCTCACGTGTTTGGAATTTTATTTGCGTTATTTTTTATGAATTTTCTTGTCTTTGATTAGGGCCTCTTATTATTTTTTTAGTCAACTAATTATTTGTTATAAGATTGCTCTAGCTAGATGGAAATCTAACAAAATAGAAAAAAGTTCCTCTTTCTTTTTTCGTTGTGGCTTTTAAAAAAAAAAAAAAAACTTCTTTCTTTGAGATGAGATTAAATCAAGTCACGGCCTCCTTCGAAAAAAAGTTAATTATTTTTCCCCCAATGAATATTCTGGCCATAGTTACAAATGATATGATCCCACCTTCTCTCATATTCCTTTAATTCATAATATAAGAGTTAATTTGAGAGTTAAATTTCATTTTAAATACAATATTTTAATTAATTTTTTTCTAATTTTATTATTTTTTTTAAAATTAATTTTCCTAACTTATAAATTAATATATACATTATGCATAACCTAGTGTTATACAATACTCCCTCTGTTCCTTATTATAAGAGACAAATAACCGAAGTACGTTGATAAAAAAAACAGTTAAAATTAGTTAAGAACAATTAATATGTAAAAAGTATAATTTTTTTTTCTAAAAATGCTCTTATTAAGTAGGAGAGAGAGCATAAGAGAGAATAATTAAATTATTAAAAGAAAGAGAAGTGAAAGGAAGAGAGAGTTTGAGTTAAAGATAATAAATATGGGTAAAATAGCATCAAATGTCTCTTATAATAAGGAACGGAGGGAGTAATATTTTGGAAAGATCATTTTATATTTGTTTAAATTAACTAATTTATTTTATTTTATTATTTTATCTAAATTAGTCAAGTAGTTTTTCAATTAATTTCCCTATATATCTTATTTATAATGGCTAGAATGATTTTTCATAAATTTTCAGTATTTTTTTTTTCTGTATATAGCGTATGACTAAGAAAGCCGGCTTTTGTTTTGTGCTTGGTACTGGCTTGCGATATTAATTATTAACTAATTATATTTAGAAAATTGGCCCAAAATTAGTTCATTTTGAAAATGGGATTGCAAATTAAGTGATTTACAATTACAGCCACTCTCTCCCGATTATGCCACAGGATCCAAAGATGAAAAATCAATCGCATACGGTAGCGCCGGCAGCCACCTTCGTCGATCGACCTTCGCGTTCTCCTTCGCTGTCTCATCGCTTTGATTCAATTCCACAGCTTATGTTTCCTGCATTTCCCTTTTGCTGCAGCAGCTTCGATGCAATCGACATTCTTGTTCTAATTTCATCTGAAGATGCCGTTCTCTTCTGCTATGTCAAGGTATGTCTTCCCCCAATCCTCTCTCTTTCTGCAATCTTCTCCCTCTTTCTTCCTTCCTTCTCTCCCTTCCTTCCTCAATCTGCGATTTTGTGTGCATTCTCATTCTGCAAACCCAAGTAGCCTCCGAGACTCCGTAGCTTCGTTCCATCGCTTGCTCTCCATGAGTCCGCCGCCCTCCATTGTCGAAATTAATAAGATTTTAGGATCACTTGCAAAGACCACACATTGCACCACTGCTATCTCACTTTCTGCGCAGGCGGAATTGAAAGGATTCAGACCATGTTTAGTTACATTGAACATTTTGATCAATTGCTACTGTCTTGTGGGTGACATCACTTCTGCTTTCTCTTTACTGGGGAAGACCTTCAAGTGGGGTTATCGACCAAATACTATAACAATGACTACGTTGATGAAAGGACTCTGCATGAAAGATGTAGGGCAAGCACTCGACTTTCACGATGACTTGTTGGCAAAAGGATTTTGCTTAAGCCCAGTTACTTATGGTACCTTAGTTAGTGGGCTTTGCAAAGCTGCAAAAACAAGATGTGCTGTCAAATTGCTCCAAATGATGGGGACACGGCAAATTAAAACTGTGCCCAATGTTGTCATATATACTATAGTTATTGATGGCCTTTGTAAAGAAGGCCTACTAAGTGAGGCATCCAAGTTGTGTTCTGAAATGATTAGGCAAGGAATATCTCCTAATATTGTTACCTACAACACTTTAATCTGTGGTTTCTCTAACACCAGCCAGTTGCAAGAAGCTATTAGGTTGCTAAATGAAATAGTCATGAAAGGCATCACTCCTACCCAACATACCTTTAACATATTTATTGATGCATTTTGCAAAAGAGGCAGGACCATAGAAGCTCAAGCTGTTTTTGCTAAGATGATGAAGTGTTGTGTTAAACCTAATGTTGTTATCTTCAATTCTTTGATGAATGGCTACTGCATGAGGAATGATTTTAACGAGTCCGTAGCTGTGTTCAATAAGATGATTAGAGCTGATTTGACACCTACTGTTTGGAGTTACAATATATTGATCAATGCACACTGTAAATTAAAAGGATGGATAAAGCCCTGGTTTTGTTTAATGAGATGCGCTGTAAAAATTTGCTGCCTGATACAGTCACTTACAACTCTCTTATTGATGGCTTGTGCAAAGCTAAGAGAATGTCACATGTGAAAGATCTTGTTTATGAGATGCGTTGCAATGGTCACGCTCCTAATATAATAACCTGCAATATCTTGTTGGATGCATTTTGTAAAACAAAACTTCTTGATGAGGCGATTGCATTATATCAGCAAATTGTCAGTCAAGGAATGCAACCTACAGTGCGCACATGCAATATACTAATCGATGGTTTGTGTAAGGGAGGCAGGCTAAATATTGCGCGAGAGATCTTTGAATTCCTTTTGACCAGTGGCCATCATCTAGATGTCTACACTTACAACATTATGTTGAATGGACTCTGCAAAGAAAGCTTGTTCGGTGAGGCATTGACATTGCTTTCAAAAATGGAAGAGAATGGCTGTCTCCCAGATGCTGTGACATTTAAAACACTTATAGTAGGTCTTTTGAGGAAAAATGAGAATGATAGAGCATCATTTTTTCTTTATAAAATGGTTGATAGAGGAATTCTGCGACAGCAAAACAAGTTCAAAGGCTCTATTTTGGTCGAATGATATGCTTTGTACTAATGATGATACTTGCCTGAAGTTTTTAGGCCAGTGCTTGCCTCTTTGTTTGAATTCAGCACGATGGTTTTTAGGTGCATTGTTAACTATAATAAATGGTATTTTTAATTATCATAGGTTATTAATAACCTCATTGCCATTGTGTTCCAAGTATGAGGTGCTGCTGTAAAGGTTTTTCTTCTTATTACATCTGTCGTGTGTGCGCGCGTTCATTTGAGAACCATGCATTCTGTATGTAGCTTCTTTCCTTTATGAATGCTAATATTGTCTCCTTTTCGGAATGCATGCTCCTTTGTTTGAATATGGGCAGTGCCCACTTTTAATTGTCTGCGTTACTCATTGTTTACTCATTTAATTATTATCTAATTTGAAACATTGTTATAAACGACTAGGCTAGTGGATTTTCTGGCTTTCTGCTGCTATATGAGTGCATTTTGTTGCCAATAAATTTAACTGCAATGATTAACTAATAATCCCGTCATGCTAAGCTGCAATTTCTATCCTGAATTTGAAATATTTCATGTGCTGCTCATCCATATATAATTGCTACTGGAACAATTTATTTGGGAGGAAGGCTATGAGAGGAGGGGAAGCAGTAATTTCACTTATTTGAAATACTGATCTGGAGACAGCAGCAACAGAACCATATGGGATGATATTGCAGTTTTCTCTTTGTTCTCTGTGTGTGTGTTTTGACAAACACGGTCCTTTTCTTGCAGTTTTGTTTCTATCTTAATCATTTTGTGTTCTGTATTCATTTCATAATGAGTGAGTTTGCAGGATCACCACTCGTACGTTATGTTGCTTGATTGACACTGCTGATCATTTCTGTTCCATAGACACTATGAATTTCTCCCAGGCAGACAGTGTGTTTCTAGAGTTATCAACTGATCTTTTTATATTTATTAATTCTATTTCTAGGTTAGTGATCATGCGTATGCAATTGTTAACTAAATGGTGAGAGTGAGATTGACGAAGTCTGATGTTTCAATTTACTATGATTGAATTATATTTCAATTCAGAAACGAATGTTTTGGTTTCCTATTTTGCAAGACATCACTTCACATATACCATTGTAGCTCTACCGGTTAGTGATGCAAAGTCTTGAAGTGGGAAAATTATTTGGTTTGGCTCACGCAGTTTTTGACTCAATTTTTAAATTTTGATTCGATTAAAACTTGGTCAGATTGTCAGATTGTTTCGGCCCTCTATATACTTCCAACACTCACAGTTGTCAGATTGTTTCACCCCTCTATTTAGCCTTCATGATTTCCGCTAGCCTTTATGACACTTCTTCCATCTCACATACTCCTTTACTTGGAACTAAAATTAATTATGGTCTCTTTGAAAATTTTCTTAAGTATGGTTCTGTAGACATATATATTAGTTGCTTCTTGAATTTCACAAGCACTAATTTAACTTCATTTGAATTTGTATGCTTTCTGGTGAAACAAATATACTCCTTAATAACTTAGACCATTCCTGATGGACTGTATTCTCGGCTTCTACAATGGCTAATTTGTTGTTGACCAAAAATCTCCTCAACTTGCTGTATGTTTTGGCAGTTGCTTCAGTAATCTTCTTCACAGATTGCCTACCTATAGCATTCTGTTGTTGCTGTCTTTGCACCTTCACAAGCTAGCAATCCAACATTTGATTGTTTCTCTGAGCACTAGTTTAGATGCTGCTTTTAAGTTCTGAGTTATTAAAATATATTGTAATCGATACTTTTGAGAATCATGAAGGTTGCTCTTGTTTTCTTTGACTGCAGAAAGTTACTTAAACTCCTTCGCATATAATATACATGCATATAATCATTTAACAATTTGATCGAGCGCAAATTGAACTATCCAACTATCAATTGCATGTCCTATTAATATAATGAAGTTATGTTCAATAACAACGAAATATAATATGATATAATAATAACTAACGAATAACCCATATCAAAACATACCATACTGATCCTACAAGTTACGATAACAATATTATTTATGAAATAACTTAATTTAGAATGATAATGTTATAAATGGATTAAGTTGGGAAATATAAAATACTCCAAGAGGTTCTTTTAATAATGAAGGATCCTACATTATCTATATGACATGTTTTATTTAAAACATCAATTTCTTCATCTAGTATTCTTAATTGATTGCAAAACTTTTCTAACTAGTTTGTATGAAGTTGTTATTGGATGCTTTTTCATTGCTAAATTGATTCCCTTATATATGGTTTTCTCATCACAAGTCTTAAAAAGGTATGTTGAAATGATATGAGATCCTAAAGGTTAACAAGTATGTATTTTTATTACTTCGAATTGATGTCATTGTTATAAGAGTGTAGTGCGAAATAAAATAAAAGAATAATTAATAGAATGAAGCCAAATGGAACAGTAATTGTGTAAATGATATATTTATTTAAGATTAAAAGATATACATTTTACAAACTCATTGAATTTTTTTTTTAGTTGTTATAATTTTTTTAACTATATATATTAAGTCATATGTTCATAATTTGTTTGTAAGAATAATAACGTTAGTGGTTGATGGTATAACTTTCACACTAACATACATTTAAAATAATTTTGCCACAGATAAATAAAATGAAAATCAATCAATCAAATTATATATTATATATAGATGTCAAAAAAAGTTTGAGTGTAATAATTTTTTTTTAATTTTGATGTTGATAAAAAATAGACTTTACTGCATCATATCTTTGAAAAACTTCTTTCATTTAGAACGCTTGCTATAGCTGTTTCAATGAAAAATGAGCATGATAAAGCAAAGATGCTTATTCATGAAAATCAAGGTCTTCTGAAGCACTAAGATAATGTCAAATGCTCTATTTTTATCCTGTACTTCCTCTTATGAATTGTGATATTTCCGTCAAGTGGTTGGAAAATGCTTACTTCTTAAAGTTAATCAATTACTCCTCATTTTATAATCTCAGCTCCCATTTGATATGAAGCGTTGGGAATTAGAGGTAAGAATTAGGATTGAGATTAAGAAACCTGTTAAAAAGAAGTGTTTATTATGAGGGTCCCTCAAGGTGATCAAACAAGAGGAAGAAATAGTGTTAAAGATTTGATGCTTTGCCATTTGAAGATTTGTTATAATTGTAACAAGAAGAAATTGTGTTGATTTGATTATTCTATATTTTATGTTTGTATTTCAGATAATTTGGATTGATTTATGTATGTTTGAAATTTGTTAAAAATACGGACTTTTTAACAACTTTTAAATCATACCAAGCCAAGTTTAGGCTGAACAAAAGTCCCATCACAGGTCGAATGTGAGGCTCAAGCCAAAAGGTTTCAACAAAAGCCTACCCTGTTAAAGGTCAAACCTAATTTAGCCTAGCCTATTTCTCCCTTGATGAGGAATTTGCTTGTTATTTGGGATTAGGCAAATCCATATAAGTGGGTCTGGGCAGCACTATTAAAGAGGTGGTATTTGTTAAATAGATCTTGTATTTGTTGCTTCAAGTCCTGCCTGCATCACTAAATTGATATTTTCATGCCAATGAAGATACTACAGGGTTTAGTACTAATTGCAATGAAGTTTTTTTACGGAGATTGCTCATGCCATGGAGTTATAAAGAATGTAAAAGGGGGAGTTAGGTGATGGGTTTCTGCCAAAAAAAGATGGGTGAACACGGTTAGTGCCTCAATAACCGAAGTTAAAGAGAGAGAAGTTTGTAGACATTGAATTGTCAGTTTTATCTCTTTAGATTTTGAAAACCTGGACAAGTTTTCTATGTCGTCGTAAAATACTCCTCTGTTCTTTAATATAGGATTCAATTTTTAAGTTGGTTTTGGTCCTAAATATAAGACCCATTTTTCATATTTATCAATTTTCTCTAAATTACTTCTATAGATACTCCCTCAACCATAATCAAGTAGAAGAGGGAGAGGAAGTATTAAGAAAGATGATTATGATGTTTTAGGAAAAATGTGTCACTTTTCTTATAATTAACTAACTTACCTAATTTCTTTAGTCTAATCAAATTAGTTAAATGGGTCTTATATTAAGGACCGGAGGAGTATTTATTTCTTTCTCTTTGTGGTTGTCTTTCATGATCCTTGAGGCTCATGGACCTTTGGTGAGGTTTTAGAATGCAGTAGGTGTCCTTTTTTTTTCTTTTTAAGTGATCAAGAGAATGGTTCATTTCTTGCTACTCGGCAAATCTAATTTTGTTCATGTAAGAATTGGACTCTCTGAAATAGAAGAGGGGTCGTTTCTCTGTTTTTTTTTTTTTTGAATATTAATATTGGCACCGATACTTACTTATATTAATGATTATTTAAACTCTTTAAAAAGGAAGAAATTACGGAGGATTTGCAGTCAAACCCATTTCTTTTCGAAAATTCAATGAAAGCTTCCATTAGGTTTAACAAAATTCATATCTGGATGGCTATGCCTCTTGCCAAGCCGAAATGCAACAAGAACGTTTTATTGTATGGTATTATATTTTTAGGGAAAATTA